CCCCCCCCCCCCCCCCAAAAAAAAAAAAAAAAAATGGCCCCGTCCGGTTTGGGGGGAGGGTGCCGCACGCGGCAAAGCGGACCGGACCGGACGCTCGTCCGGTCCGTCTGCTTGCAAGTATGGTCCAAAGTACTGTGGCATCCGTTTTCGCAGAATATCCTGTTCCTTTGTGAACTCAGAAGACTTGACCCAAGCTTTATCCCCAACCTGAAATATTGACTGCTGCCGCTGATTGTTCTCGGATGCTATCATTATATCATTTTGCGCTTTTTGAATCCGCTTCACAGTCTCGTGCAGCAAAAACTTATGTTGCAAGCCTCATTCAATGCTACCAGGTGCTGCTTTAGACTTAGACTGGGGGAACCCAAGATCCAACAGTCTCTTGACAGCTGTTAAACACGGAAGCTGCTTCTGATTCGTGGACACCGAACTGAGAGCGCTGTTGGTATTTTGTGAAAGAGGCGGAAATGATGTGATATGCTCCATGCTTGGCTGGATCTTCGTCATAAATTATTGAATTCATTATTATGGAAGGAACATGAAAGGATCATCTCTGCGTACCAGTAACTGAAAGCTGGTTTTTGCAGTACCCTTGTTTTCGGAATGATTGCAACCTAGTTAGTTGAGTGTGCCTGTCACGGAAGCCGTCAATCTTTTGCATCAACACTTTCAAAAGCCATCAAACTACCGTATTTCTTCTCAAGAGGTGTCACTCTCCATTGCCCTTGTTCGTCTTGCTCTTTTTTGCTGTTGCCATCTGATGCTTTTTGTTTTGTGCTGTTGTTTGATACTGATGGTTTCTTTTTTTTTTTTTTTTCTTTTGTCGTCACTCTTGTCGACGCTATTTTCCCTGCCGCTATCATCATCATCATTATCATCCTTGTTGTTGTTGTTGTTGTTGTTGTTGCTGTCGTTGTTGGTTGTCTGCTGTTGGTTGTGGTCGTGCGTTGCGCGTGGTTGTGGGTTGTTGGTGGTTGTGGGTGGATGTGTTTGCGGGGTTACGGGTGGTTATGGGGTGGGGGTGGTTGTGGGGGTGGGAATGGGGATAGTTGTGCAGGTGGTGGTGGTGGTTGGGGGGTGGGGGTCAGGGCCCTGGTGGGGTCGTTGTCAATGTGGTTAATCGTCCGTGTGGTAGTCACCCATGTGGTTGTCATTGGTTGATGTGGTTGTGCTTGGTGTGGTTGGTTGTGGTTGGTGTTGTGGTTGTTGTTGCCATCTTTCTGGTTGTTGTCGCGGCCGCCGCTGTTGTAGCTGTGGTCATCGTCATTGTTGTTCCGATTGTTGTCGTGGTTGTCATCGTGATTGTCACCGTGGTTCTCATTGTCGTGGTGGCGGTGGTCGTTGCCGTCACCGCATTGTCGTTGTCTTTGTTGTTGTCATTGTTATCCTCCTTCTTGTGGTCATTGTTGTGGTGATTGTTGTCGCCATTACTCTTGCTGTTGTTGTTGTTGTTGTCGTTGTCGTTGTTGTTGTTGTTGCTGTTGCGTTGTTGTTGTTGTCGTCATTGTTGTCGTTGTTGTCATTGTCCTTGTTGTTGTTGTTGTTGTTGTTGTTGTTGTTGTTGTTGTGGTTGTGGTTGTGGTTGTTGCTGCTGCTGCTGCTATTGGTTGTTGTTGTTGCTTTTGGTTGGTTGGCATTGTTTTTTTTTCTGCACTCTAGTTACTCAAGTCCTGCAAGCTGATCGATGAAGCCGCATTCAGCATTATATGCAGAGGGATTTCCTCTCTGAACATCGGAGACTTCATAGGGAAGAACTTTTTGACAACCCTTAAGAGGATAGAAAAAGTGAAGGCCAAGGGACCAACTGTGACGAAAAGCAAGTTACCAGAATCAGCTGGAAGGAACAAGCAAGGTGTTAGTCTTCAAATACTTGGCAAGGTCTTAAGGAGCATGTCAGCCATCAAGTCCTTCCAAGAGCAGCCTCGTGTCACTTTCTCCACATTCATTAAAAATCATGTTGTTCAGGTGAAGTAAAAAAAAACTTATTCAGGTGAAGTAACCATCTCTGTACTTTCCCTTCTGATGGGAACCTGTCCGTCCGTCTGTCCATCCATCTGTCCATCCGTCCATCCGTCCGTCCATCAAGAAGGTCAGCAAACTCTCCATCTTCATAACCTGCAAGTCTGATGGTGTCAACTTGTCAAGGCAATGTTAGAAGATAACGGTGGGGAGGTCCTTTGTGTTTTTTTTCCCCTTCATTTAAGAAGATAAAAAGCTTAAGAAACACAATTGAGAAAAAAAGATATATAAGGCACTGCGGCATCTATGCGCCCTTTTCAGAAGGTGGTAGGGCATCTATGCGCCCTGTTTAGAAGGTGAAGGGCATCTATGCGCCCCTTTTCATAAGGTGGTGGGGCATATGCGTGCCCTTTTTTTTTTTTTTTTTTAAGGTGGTGGGACATCTCCACACCCACCAAATTCTGCCAGAATCCGGAAATCTTTTTCGTTTTCCGAAGTGGTCAGCAAAACTCAAAATATGTTAACCATTTCGGCCGGTATCATGTCAATGTTGCACCTATGCGCCCTTTTCAGAAGGTGGTAGCCTAGGGCATCTATGCGCCCTTTTCATAAGGTGTTGGGGAATATGAGTGCCCTTTTTTTTTTAAGGTGGTGGGACATCTCTGCACCCACCATTTTTTTTTTTAATTTTTTTTTAATTTGTTTTTTTTACCAGAGGTGATAGTTTCATTAAGGGATAATTTGCAAAATACCCCCATAAGTTGAGATATATGTCAAAATGCCCCTGAAAGATGTGGGTAGATCGGAATGCCCTTTTGGGCCGAAATCTTTGTGTTGTGCCCCTGTCAGGCGGGTGTGCAACTTTGCAATCTGGACCTCCCCATTTGGGCCTTGGCCTTTTGCAAAAGCGCCTAGGAAAAGTTGTCAAGTACTGGGGCATTTCGCAAAGTTGGATGGTACCCGGTAGGGGTATATTGCAAAAATGGGGGTCCAACCGACACCAGGGGTGTTTCACAAAATATTTATTTTATCAGAGGGGCATTCCGCTCTACCCACATCTTTTACGGGCATTTTGGCATACATCTCAACTTATGGGGGTATATTGCAAATTATCCCTTTTCTTTTTTTTTTTTTTTTTTTTTTTGAAAGGCCCTTGTGCAATTATCCCTTTCATTAATTGCAAATTATCCCTTTCATTAATAATCAATAATACAAATGGAACGGCTTGCACCCACCAAATTCTCCCAGAATCCGGGCCTCTTTTTTGTTTTCCGAAGTGGTCAGCAAAACTCAAAATATGTTGAGCAGCATTTTGGCCGCGGTCTCATGGCAATCAACCTTGCAGTTTGAAATCCAATCCTACAATTCAATGCATCACACACTGTCACTCGATGACAAGGTTCCTGACGGAGGACGGCTAGTATCCAGATAATGCCATCATACTTGGATGATGCTTTTTATTTATTTTTATTTTTTTAAATACTTGGATGATGCTAACTTCTGCAAGCAGTCAAGAATTATCATGTTCATGGCAAAACAACTGGGGGATGGGATTGGCAGGGAGAGCCTTCCTCAGCCCCACTTGGCTGCAGCATTCACGTAAGGGACGCCTGGCCCACTTCCCGGTTTATAGTGAAAGTTTGAAAGAAGGAAAAAAAAAACAAGATCCCCAAAATAATAAAATATGCCAAATCAGCAGAGATACCCAGCACACATAGTACGATCAACAGCCGCCAACACACAGCGAAGGGCACTTCATCAACTCCTCAACACAACATCAGCAGGTAACATACATACTATGTGTGGTTGGCTTGGACTGGAAGATCAATGATCATTCATCACATCAGATGATGCAGATTATAATTGATTGCTTGGTTCAGATTTGAAGATTGTATCCCACCAATAGATGGAGCCTCTCCGACAGTACTAGAGTTGTCTGCTCTTATCAGCACCTCTAGTAATTGGGATTGGGAAGGAGAGCGAAGCGCCAATACCAGCATGCTGAGATCGGCAATCCGCAAACACAAGCACATTGAGTGAATCAATATGCCAGAAATGTGAAAACCTCGGAGTAAGATACTCTTAAGCAATGAGAATGAAACACGAAGAGTACCACCATAGCCTTGGCTATGGTAGAATCTGGCTGCCCTCTACCGGTTTCGGCTGGAGCCAGAGTCAGCCTCATCAGGAGGGAATGAAGTAACTCCGAGGTGTTTGGTTGAACCTACTCTACGGATAAATACTAACTCCATTGTATTTCTCCCTTAACCCTTGCAGGATCGTGTCCAGCAATATCAGGTACGCGTGTATCCCCGCTCCAGAAATTCCTTTTTTTTTTTTTTTTTTTTTTTTT